TTAACACTAAATCAAACTAAGGACAAGAATGAAAATAGTCCTCTCTAGATTCCTGATCCCAGGAATTCATAATCCCACATAGGGAGCACAATCAGTCCAGATTGGTGGTTCTCAACATGACCATATATTTCCCATGCCACGTTTCTGTGATGCCACAATCTTATATGATACTGTTTAAATTAATAAATAGTGGAAATGATAAATTACTTCCAGCTAAAAGCACCTATGAGGGGGGTCATAAAGGTACATGAGGCTGAGAAGGCAGTCATGAGCAAAAAGAAAGAAAAGGTTGAGGATTTCTGGTCTAGATAGATACATAAGACAAATGCCAGGCTCAACTAAAACTGGATTCTTAACTGTGTTATAAGAAGAGGTGATCAAATCAAGAGGGCAATGTTTTCCATTGTGCAACTTTTAGAGAGCTGTGGTGGTGCAGTGGTTAGAATGCAGTATTGCGGGCTAATTCAGTGTTCACTGCCAGGAGTTCGATTCTCACCAGCTCAAGGTTGACTTAGCCTTCCATTCTTCCAAGATCGGTAAAATTAAGTCCCAGATTGTTGGGGGCAACATACTGGCTCTGTAATAATAATAATAATAGTAAAGTTGGAAGGGACCTTGGAGGTCATCTAGTCCAACCCCCTGCTCAGGCAGGAAACCCTATACCATTTCGGACAAATGGCTGTCCAGTCTCTTAAAAGCCTCCAGTGTTGGAGCATTCACCACTTCTGGAGAACTGTAAACTGCTTAGAAAGTGCTGTAAAGCACTATAAAGTGGTATATAAGTCTTAAGTGTTATTGCTATTAGTAGGCAAGAAGGAAATCTTGTGGCAACAGTTAGGCTTAACGAAGGCATCTTACTGACCAAAACTTCAGGCTCTCTTACTGCATCTGGTGGCTAAATTTCCTGCTTGTTTGTCTTTTGAACTGTGTGGAGAAAGAATGTCAGTGGCTTAGCAAACATTGCACCTCTCAGAGAAAGAACAGGCTAATGATCAAGGCCATCAAGAGATTGCATTAAAACTGGGTCAATGTTGGTTTAACAAAATTCTTGAGCTTTCAACATTCAGGGCAACTAATCAGGTAGATCACAGAGAGGTTTTGCAGATCCAGACCCCAACTATCCTTCATGCAATGAACGTAATAGATCCATTCAAGAAACTTTTCTCTGTACTGCATCAGAATTGCATTTTCCCCAGGACACAGTGTAGCTGTGTGACATACCCTTTGTTAACATGCAGTCAAATATGCACAATCATAAAAAGCCACAATAAGATTGCCAATATTTTAAATAACAGCATGAGCAGAGCATCACTGAGATAAGAAAATCTGAAGGAAAAACCAGGCAATTGTGATAGAGACTTTGAGGAATGAATACAGTAGCACATAGACTTATATACCACTTCATAGTGCTTTACAGCCCTCTCTAAGCGTTTTACAGAGTCAGTTTATTTCCCCCAACAATTTGGGTCCTCGTTTTACCAATCTCGGAAGGATCGAAGGCTGAGTCATCCTTCAGCCGATGAGAATCAAACTGCTGGCAGCTGGCAGTCAGCAGAAGTATCCTGCAGTACTGCATTCTAACCACAGCACCACCACGGCTCATGAGTGATATGCTTAAAGCTGTGGGAAGAATCCAGAAAAAGAAATATTTTGGGAAATATTAAAAAAGCAGAATCTATTTATCCAAAGGAATAATGGAGAAGATCTTAAAGGCAGAAAAGCAAGCCCAGTTTTCTTAATAGCACCAATCAGAAACTAGGCAGAGGCCAGCTTTTAGAAATGCAAATTCAATAATCCATTCAGGAAGGTTGGGTCCAGGAAGCTAGAAGCTATGAGATTAGGAAGTCAAAGACCTCTAAAATCTACATACTTCACTCAAACCCAAAAAATATTACCTTTGGGGACATAATAGGATTAACCCACCAATACCAAAAGAGCACACTCAAACCCAGGTCAAAGTACATGAAACAGGAAATACAAAGCCTCAAACAGGAACAGGAAACAACCTGAAGAGCCCCAGAAAGTATAAAAACTCACCATTCCCTGCTACATGTGGTCAGCTTTCCCAGTGCCATGCTTTTGTCTGGCTCTGCTCTTCAATAAACTCCAACCTTCTTTCTAAAGCAGTCTCCATTTTGTTTATTCCCAGCTTGGACTGGACCCTGATGAAGATTTTTCTTTCTACAAAGCTATACACATGAAATCTGTTAAGAATAGTGCTCTTTAACCCAATCTTAACTGCAGAAACAAACACACTTTCCTGAATGAGGGAGGCCCTCCAAACTATTCCACTCAAACTACCCAAATTAGCAAAACATAACTTATAAAAACTCATCTGAATTTCTATTGACTTCCTAAAATGCTCATTTTCCTCACAAACGCAGCCAGATTTCAAACACAGGATTCACCATTGTTTAGCAAACCATTAACAAGGTTCTGTGCCGTTACTAAGGCCATGGCTTGCAACCACAATGGATGGGAGCTTTTTGTTGTAGCCAAATTCAAGTACTATCCATTAATTCTTGACTAACAGAAAAGGATGCTGGCCTAAATTACATTGTTCCCATTGTCAATTCCAGCTCTGCCACAGCAATGAAAATGGCAACTGATGTTTATGTACTTATTACCGTATGAACCAAGTTAAGGAAAGGGAGTGTGGATTTCCTTGGCTTGGTTTCTCCTCCTATCCAGTTTTCTTACAAGAGAAGTAACAACAACCAGTCCTTAACATAGGGTTGGATGAGTTAAGATGAATTATTAGAATGGCGGGTTTAGTCACCTACAAAATTGCCTAACTAATAGAAAAAGGTGGGGAGGTACTCTCCAAAAGTTACAAGTGGTCAACATGCCTGTAACTTGTTATTCAGGTCACTTGACAGGTAACAGGTTAAGAGATACAGAGGTACAGAGTAAAATGCGAGTGACCTCTACTAATATTCCTACTCAATGCAGCCACTCCTGTGACCTGTCAGTTGGGCTATTCTGAAACATGGATGCAAGTGAGGAAAAGCACTGATTTCTCACATCACTCCAACAAACAACATTAGGATTTAGGGTGATGTGTGAACACAGTCATTAATAATAAACCAGTGTATAAAATAATCGCAAATAACCCCAGACATTGTCACAACCCCTGAATTCATATACTGCTCTACAACAGATGGCAGATGGCAACTTAGTCCAGTAAAAGAACTTTGCTGCAAAGGTTGCTGCCTTTTTTTCTAAAGGCTTTTCATCGCTAAACACATCCCCAAGTCTCTATGTCAGGGGTGTCAAGCTCAATTTCACTGAGGGCCGCATCAGCATTGCGGTTGCCCTCGGAGGGGGTGGCGGGGGGGTGGCCAGGGGGGGTGAGGCCTACTGGGTGGGCGTGGATGGAGTGTGTGTGGCCTACTGGGTGGGCATGGCCAGCTCTACATCGTTTGCGTCAAAGGTGCCTGTGGGGGCCTGGGCAGGAGTGGGACAGATCTGAGGGTCTCTGGCAGAAGGGGGTGGGACCGGGGCAAGCACCAAGGCATGGTCCATTTCTTCATTTCTCACAAAGGGTGACACCTCCCCAGCATGCACCCAGGGGGCGGGGCCGACACGGCAGAGGCTGGTTCCTCGCTGTTTCTAGATGGCCTTGTGGAGCTAAGACTGAATGCGTTTCAGCATAGATGGCCACCACAAAATTGTACATTGGCTCCCGGCCAGCCTGGGCCAGGGCCAAGGCAGCGGGGGCTGTTCCCTCACTGTTTCCAGGATGGCTTCGTGGTCCACATGAAACCACTTTGCGGGCCGCATCCATCCCCCAGGCCTTGTGTTTGACATGTCTGCTCTATGTCCTCTGATGCTGCTTTCAAACCTGGTGAGTTAAACAGAGTTTGAGCTGTCCAAGTTGTAACCTAGACCAATTCGCAGAGTCTACGTAGGAATTCTGCTGATTTTAAGGGATTAAGAGAGCCAATTTGATGTAATGGTGAAGACACCAGGCTAGAAAGCGGAGACTGTGATTTCCATTCCCACCTTAGGCACGAAGTCAGCTGGGTAACCTTGGGCCAGTCCCCCTCTCTCAGTCCTAAGAAGCAGGCAATGGTAAACCACTTCCAAAAACTTGCCAAGAAATCCAAAGGGAGCTTGTCCAGGTAGATGTCCAGTGTCAATGTTGTCTGGAAGGCACATACACACACACACACACTCAGGGACTGCAATACTCCCTATGAATAAATTCCTACTGAATTCAATTTTGAATGGCCCTTGGGACTTGGTTCTGAGGGTGGCCACTTCTGCACAATCATTAATAAGGAATTTTCCAAGCCCCCCAAAGAAAACAATATTTTGCATAATATTTCTATGCAAATTGAGAATAAATGAATACAATTCAAATAAATGTGTCATGCAGCTTAGCACAGTTGGGAAAACTGAACAGGTAACACCTGCGCCTGTTCCACATCCTGACCACGTACAAGATATTTCAAGCCCTTCGTAGAGAGAACTTTCTGGCTATTTTCCCCTTTGCAAAACCTTGCTTCTTTCATCATATTGCAGGCGTTGCAAAATGTCTTGCACTTGAGTACACAGGGCAGTTGTTTGTGCACCTAACTATTATATCATAGAAAGAGGGGGAGGGAAGTAGGCAGGCAGGCAAGCAAAACACACACACACACACACACACACACACACACACCTCT